AATGAACAAGATAGCCAGAGATAGCCAATCAGATAGTAGAGGAGGTGGGTCCAAGCAACTAGAGGAGGCGGGATCAAGACATCTGATTGGTTGGTCTGGCATCTGGCCAAGATCTGATTGGTTATCCATCTGAGCCAATCTTTTCTCGATCTGCCCGCAGAACATTCGAGCGCAAGTAAAACTCCCATGAGCGTGAATCGCCTCAGAAGTACCATTGATTTGCCTGGATGTATTTCATAAATTCTATATGCTGACATATGCAATTGAAATCATTCTGGAGCATAATTCACTGACGAATATTTTAACCAATGAGACAATATGGCAGGTGAGCAGTTTTGCAGGAAATCTGTCACTCTTCAGCATAGAGGAAAGCCAGGCGCCCACGCTCACCCCTCTCAGCACCTCCCCGATCATCCCGTTCCAGTTGCCGCGCTCATCCTGCCGCCCGTAGTTGCCGTCCTTCACCAGGTGCACGTTGTACTTGAAGCTCAGCTTCTTTGAAAGCTCTGAGAGCAGGTCCATGCAGTACCCCTCCAGCTCGGTCCCCTTAGGCATTGTGTACGGCTCTTGCTGCAGGAGTGCAGAGATTACGTCTAGCAACACACTTACACAAAAGAACAGTCTCCATACATTAACAGTCATTTGATAAATTCAGTTAAAGGGGTTAAGAACATTTTCCTGTTTTCATTTAGAAGCAGATCACAGTACGTTGAACTGCAATGACACACAGAATAACACTGATTTTAATATATTGATAAAATACTGTATTTTATCATTAAGATAATCATTTGCCCTCCTATTTTTAACTACTCTGTTTTCTTTAAACAGAGGACAATAAATTATTATTACTTTTTAAACTCAACAAAGTGTTAAAAAGGTTTAATTTATATTCATAATACATAAATGTATTTTTTATTTTATGCATGATAGATTGATACATACCTTAATGGTGGTTACAGATAAAGTTGAGGGCCCTATAATGAAAAAGATTTCATTTTAAAAGGGTTTTACAAAATTTAATCAAGCTATTTTAGGGTCAAATTATCATCTTTTGTTTTCTAAAAACCTGAAACAGCTGTCACCTAGGAGTTTTGGAGGAGTGAGTGGAATTTATTACGGGGGCTGATGAATCTATTTATAACTGAGTGGACGATGGTCAAGGAAAAAAAGAATGAGGCTTGAAGACTCTACTGTTGTCTTGCCAGAATTCCCCCGGCCTCTTTCTCACAGCTCTTTGAAGCCATCCTTGGTGGTTAGCGAGCCATTTCATCTTACTCTGCTGTGGCCTTGCTTTTCTTCCCTTCCCTCAAACAGGACAAATTCCCAGATTAACCAGGCAGGCACAATGAATGGCTTGTACTTCTGTGCTCTTTGACAAAGCCATTGACCCCTTGATCAACGTTATGCTTATGGGTGGATAAAAAGCCCACATGAAGATAGCAAGAGGTGGACGAGAGGGGGGCCACATTCAGCCTTTCTTGGCCCCTGCGGCTCAGTTGAAGTGACGGCCCGGCCATGGACGTGTTCCGGCGCCTTCAGGCGTTGGCGACTGTCCCAGCCAAGGCAGCGGGATGGGGAGTGGGGAACAAAGGTCGATTGGGGGGGAAGGGGGTTCTTTTTTTACACTTACGCCAATCAGAGGATGTTTACGACATGGTGATTGGTTTATTACCATAAACTGTGACCGATTTCATTTTCAGGGTCAATTGAGCTGATCTCAAAGCATGGCAATGTTGATCTTGGGGAGGGGGGGGGGGCAAGATCTAGGGCTGTAGGTATCTGCTAAGGGTGGGGGGGAGGGGTAGCTGATGATTTCTCATAGTCAGATAAGACTCATCAGTATAATAGAGAATCAGTCCCTTTTCAAAATTTGACAAACTTACAAGCTCCCAGAATCCCATCTATTCAAGGCAGCCCCTCCCCTCCTTTCTCTCACACACTGCCTTGTCTTTCAGCTGCGGCAAATTGATTTATTACAGTTGGGGCCGCAGCCGACTGGTCCCTCTCTTCTATGACTGAGGGACGACTCTTGCCAAACAGGAGGCAGCCTGCTGCTCTGATAAAGTCCCAGTTGACAGGCTACCCCCGGCTAATGAAAAGTTTAATATGTCAGATTATGAACTGTTGCTAACACGGCCTCGGAGTCAGACATGAGGTTCTGGCGTGCCTGTATAGATTATTGTCATAGCAATGCTCCCAGACAGGAACACTCACACAGAGATTCCAATTCATTCATTCATCCTTATACTGGGCCACTCATAAATCACAAACATAAGCATGTTTTTCTCATTGGTCTCCATAAACCAGCAACTATGAATGTCCACATGCCATAGAGCAGTGTTTCCCAACCCGATTCTCGGAGACCCAAAGACGGCCCACGTTTTTGCTCCCTCCCAGTCCCCTGCCAGACAAACACATTTTTCCATGAACAAAAACATGGATTGTCTACAGGTCCTCGAGGACTGGATTGGGAAACCCTGCCACAGAAGAATGCTTTTTGAATTTTGGGGCTTTTACATTTGTCCGCATCTGGGTGCAGGAGGGTGATCTTACCTGCATCACAGACCGCTGTCAGAAGGACTGTCACACACATGATGATTCCCAGCTTTGATTTCATGTTTTTGCCTCAAAAACTGAGGATTAGAGAGATGGAAGGAAGTATTGCAATTATAATGATGAATTATTTGTCATCTTTTACCAGGGCTGGTCTTGAATCGTACCATTTGTTCAAGTAGATGTTAATTAAAGCAGCTGATGAGGTCAGGTAACTCCCACTTAGAGGTAAGACCCTGACGGTCACAAGCAGAGCCTCCTGACTTGTATATTGCAATGCGTCCTTGTGGCAAAAATTACTGACCAGAATATTAACCAGCACAAGCCCACACTAACTGGGACTGCCTACATTTCCTCTGCTGCAACATAACACTACAGCTGGGACTGCAAATCACCTGTTTGCAGACGGTCAATTAATAGGTAAACAAATATGGTATTATTCACATCTGTGGACGATTTGAAACTGTGAGCTACAGTGTTTGTGACGAGACAGATGACGTTATAAAAGAACAAAAATTTCATGTAATATTATTAATGATCTGACAATCAAATGCAGAAAATTTTCTAATTAAAACAACATTACAGTGTGTTTATGGTGTGGAATTTATGACTCAACAAAAGGGATTCTTCAGTTAATAAGAAAATAAAAAAAGTTCTTTGAAATTTAGCATGATACTCAGCAGTACTGAAGAATTACAAAACTGTCAGCTGATAACATTAAGCCAGAAAACGTTCAGTCATATATACATCATTATAGACACTGAGGACAAAGTAAGATCATCTTACCTCAAGACCCCACACTGTTGTTTGAAGCAGCACTGTGTTTGAGCTGGAGAGGAAGGACAGCAGCAAGATTTAAATGATCAAGCTGCCGTGAACAGCCAATAGAATTTGTGGGAGGGAAAATTAAAAAAAAAAAAACAAAAAACAACTTGATTATGAGATTTTCCCACCCTCATATTGCATAAGGCGTGTAAAGTGTGACCAAGTCACCCCTCACTCAGCCCCCCCCACACTTTGTAGCTGGAGGAGTAGAGCCAGATACAACCATAAAGCTAGCATGGATCAAGTCTAGTTTACAGGGGTTATGGGGTGGACCTGCGGCAACTGTAACCATGGTGACAGAAAAGCCATTCATGACTGCAACATAAGTCTCAGACAAGCAAAATGGATCATTTCATTGTGAAAGTTGCCAGTCTGAGCGACTCCCTCTTTGTGTTCTCACTTTTCCCCTCTCTGACGGGGGTATTTTGTAACACTACTGGCCGAGCCTTTGTAGGACGGCAGAAGGAGGGAAAGATAGAGGTGGATTTGGCAAAACCAATTACATGCTCGTTATATTGTTCGGACAGGATGAAAATTAGCTGCAATACTGTGCACATCTGTGAGCATACAGCCATTTACATGGAGGCAAAATCTATGGTAACAAGCAAGAAAAACTGCAACGCAGATCTTTACCAGAACCATTTTAAATAGTCAGCATAATAAATTACTTTATTACTTAATGACTACATATAGAATACAAGATTTTTGTCTTCAAAGGAATATGGTTTCTGTAATTAATTCATATTTACGATACATGTTTCTATATATACCGACACCAAATCGCAGACTGGCGATTAAGGATGTCTGCTTTCCATAAGTAAAGCTCATTTACACGTTTATATTCTTCTCCCTATTTGTTTACTTAATTTTTTAGATCTCCATTTTCTCCGGGTGAAGCCTGAAGGCCAGTGCCAAAGTCCTCTGGGGAGCCTTCAGCCTCAGTGACAGCAACATTCCCTCCGCTAACAGCGATTAAAAGGCCTGAAAAGCAGGGGCTTGAGAGATGAACCACACTAAACCACCCCCATAAATAGAGGGTTTTGAAGTGAGCCGGGGGAATCACCGGAATTCAAATGAAGACATCCTTTGTGAGTGTGGCGGCAGGGGGGACAATCTCTGTCAGTCAGCAAGGCATGTAAAGCCCAGGAAAGCTGGCGGCGCTCCGGAAGAGTCCGACGGCTCAGATCGCACAGCAACCACATCCTGGTGCATGTCCAGCTTTTTATTCCCACTGTTACTTAGTTGGTACTTAGAATAAAATATTTCGAAGCGATCACAGCTTCATCAAGCTCAGCTTCCCCCCCAGCCCCAGCTCTTGTCTTCCGTGTCGCTTTCTTTAAACACAGATATGAGCGAGCCACGTATCATCAGATCGCCTCATGAATGACACTGACAGCCGCCAGAGCTGGTTGGCCAACGGGGACGATAGGTTTTGACGCGGACGGCGAGGATGACTGACAGAACGAGCCGTGTGGTAGACATAAGCTGTTTTGGGATCTCTACCCAAAGAGTCAATGAACCTCTTCTATATGCGTCCTTTGTGTTTGGCGAAAGGGCACGACGGACAACATGGGCCAAGCAAAAGCTTTCACGACCACAAAGGCGGCGTCAAGCACCACAGAGCAGATTAAACACTTTTTATTCAGTTCATGTTCATTTACATAGGTTGACAAAGATTTATTATTTTTTGCATGTCATGTTTTAGATTCTTTTTAATTAATAAAACTTACACCTATATTAATTGACACTGAAAACACAAGACAGAACGTGAAATCATATAAAAAAAAAAAAGCAAGTGTGCTTGAGTGTATGCTAATAATACACTCTTACAATTTAAATACCCCTACATCTTTACACAGGAAAACAAACCAGCATGGCAGTGCAAATAAATCCCATTCTGCTTCACAGCCATTTCATGCCAGTGTTAAGTGCCGCTTCCTTTCGGCGGGAGTCCACATCGCTTCCAAACACACACATTGTCCAAATGATTTTGCTTTCAAGTCCGAGGCCTATTTCCATATCTAAACTCTATTTTAACATTCAAACCTTAGCATAAAGAAGGGAGTCAAGCGTTTATCAGAAGTACTATTTCCCAAAAAGGATCCGTTACTCCCTGCTGTGTTTCAGGGACGAAGGAAACTGGGTACAGTATTAATTGTGGAAGGTGTTTCCTAATTAAAATTAAAAGCATTAATGCATTTGAAAGCGACACGACCTCATTTAAAGATGACAGCAATGCGATAGTCGCCCAAGATGGTTACGGCAAGGCTGCGACTCACATACAGGCGGTGAGGACGCTGGTGTATCTCATCCTGGGGGGGGGGGGCAGGGGAGGGGGTACGTGAAACGTCTTCTCTTAAATTAAAATGGCAACAAGTACTGGCCCTTGGGACATGCAGAAGATGAGGATGGACGATTTGAGATGGATACAGTAGCGGTGATAGACCCTGTGCTATTCTGTACGCCAACACCAAGCCACAATATGAGAGAACATGCCGTGTAACATAAAAACCGGCATTTCCCCAAAGCTTGCATGTCATTCACATAACAGCCCAAAGGTGAACTGCTACACGAGGAAAACATTACATATGCATAGGATTTTTAAAAATCATTCAAATTAAAATCTTTTTTTTTCCCGACAACATTCAGTTTTTTTAATGTCTTGGTCTTGTACAAAATGAGCCACAGTACAGTATGTGTTCATAGATTCAGCCTTCCAGACAGCATTTCCTCCAATACTGTCATATTTTAATGTTAAAATATTGCTAATGTGTAGCTGAACTATTACATATAAAGACATATTAGTACATCTTTTGTTTATAAAAAAGAAAACAAGAAGAGATACAAAGTTGTCCAAAGGGTCTGAGAATTAAACTGGACATGAAACAAAGTCAGATGACAAGTCTTGCTACATTTGGATTGTGTGGACTATCGACAGTTCAGATACTGAGGTTACTGTGAGTTAAACGTATCGTGACTTTACACATCTTAACTGAATATAAACAGTCTGCTTAACAATGTAGATTTGTAGCCAATTTATGAAAACACTTATTTCTGGCATTGTTTATCATGCTGTGGGGTATGTAAATATGTACAATGCATGGTTTTAACTCTTATATGACCAGCCAGCAAATTGGACATTATAAAAAATAACGGTATTATTTACTTAAAATTAGTAATAGTGCCCAGAATCTCCACATTTTAAATTCAATGTAATTTGCATTTAAATCAGTCATAATTCCATGGTCTTTAAGAAACTTGGTGAGATGATCATCTATAGACCACTGAAGGACTTGCCCAAAATCACTCAATGCAACTGTTGAGATAAATTAAAAGTTTACAGTATTCCCTGGTTTGGAAATGATAAATGAACTTAAAGCATGGAATCTCTTCATGACTGGATCAGTTGGATTATTTTTGTGCCGGTTTCATTTATTCATTTTTGGTTCTTAGAGTTTGAGCATAAAGACAACCTCGGGGTCCATCTCTTGGGGGCCCTGCCCTGGAGGCATCAAGGGAAGCTGACTCAGGAGGTCTAGGCCAATGCAAGGGCTCCTGGCCACAGTGCAAGCCCCTTCCGGGTTTCCCCGCTCCTCGATGGGGCTGCCGCCCTGCTGGGCCAGCTCCTGGAGCCGCTGCCGTTCCTGCGCCTGCTTGGCCCGGTTGGCGATGTAGCGCACGCGGCTCTGGCTCCGCGATGACATGCGCCGGAGAGGTGGCACCTCTGCCCCCTGGTCCAGTGGCTGAGTGAAGTCGCTGGCTGTCAGCGGCTCCACGTCAGTCAGCTTCCTGAGCTGCTCCTCTAGCTCGTTCCCAGCCTTCCCAATGGGCTTCCGGGGGCTCCTGGTAGACCGGACCACAAAGCTGCGACTGATGCTCCGGTACTTGCTGTCAAAATTGCAGGCGATGTCGTCAGATGTAAGGTCACCCAGGCTCTTGGACTTGGAGCTGCTGTCCATATCCTTCTCGGAGGGTGCCGGCGTGGAGGCTTTCTTGGCCAGAGCCGACGACTGCTTGAGGCCCTCCATGTAGAGTCGGCTCCACGTGTGCCGCCTCTGCATGAGCCGGCCAGACGCCCCCGGCTCCCTCCCCAGTGGCCGAGGTTGCAGCTCATCCTCGATCTCGCTGGGATCGTCGGCCCTCAGGTTTGGATTGGACTTGCTCTTGCTGACCAGCAAGGTGCTATACCCTGTCCTGGCAGCAGAGGGTAGGCAGTCAGCCCTGCTGACCGTGAAAACCTCCTCATGCTCATCCTCTGCCCCACCAAGGCTGGCCAGGCCCTTCCTGGCCAAGTTGGGCAGGGACAAGTCGATGACAGTGTCGCTGGAGGAGATGCTGGATGATGACGACACGCTGTCCCGGTGGGCTCCCAGGTCCAGCTTGCTCCAGAGCCGGTCGTTCATGGTAGCGTCGGTGCAGACCTCAGGTACCGGCGAGGACACCGCTTCCCAATGTTCTGACTTAACGTGCCCTTCACTTTTGGCCCTCCTGATGGGGCAGCTCTGCCCTCCTTTTGAGCCCAAAGTCGGACCATTGCTGAATAAGGCCCTCTTGGCTGGTGCCCGGGCACCAGGATGACCCGGGGAACACTCCACAGTAAGAGTCTGATCTACCTCCTCGCTTGTCAGGGACACATAATCACCCTGACCTGTGCTTGTGCTTCTTTCACAGTTACCCTTATGCTGACACGCATGGTCCAAGTGACAAGGACTATCAATGGATGTAAATGTAGGGTCTTCACAGTCACCGTTAACAGTCTTTGTGCCTTGGGCTCTGCCTATGCTGCTTTGGGCACTGGCAGGTTCTGCGTGGAGTGAGAATGTCCTTTCCATGGGATGACGTCGTCCGACTTCGTCCGCCGCTCTCCCCGCTGTTGCCCGGAATGAAGCTGCTGCAGATGGGAAGGACACTGGTATAGAGCTGAGCGACAATGTGCTGGCTGGACTGGAAATGGATGTGGAATGACGTGTGTGTCTCTCCTCAGATTCCTCAGCAATGGTTTCCAGGGGTTGCAGTGGAATACTTGATCGCTGCATTTCCGGGTTATCTGAAGACAGAAAAGAAAGGTGATATCATATCATATAAGAAACATATTACCAATTTACACAGCACAGAACCAGCATATTATGCAGACGCATTACCTAGGGCAACGAGTGAAAAACAACTACAGTAAGGCGATCACTAATTAACAAAAAAACGTAGACTTGAGTATTGTGTATTTTATACATCTTACATTGTTTTGATATTGATCTGTGGAAAAACACGAAAAGAGACAAGAAACAAAACATCAACGTACAACGACAATGTCAGTGTCACGAAGTCAGAGTGGTGTGGAAGGCAATAAAAACAACAAAAAAATACAAAAACTTTTATGACAGAGGGGGAGCACAGGACAACAGGACAGACTTCCTTGCTGCACTGCATGTTAGGTCTACCTTTGCCTCATTATGTTTACTTGGTCCAATCATAAAGCTGGTAATGTGTCAATGGCGGCAGTGACATCAGTGCTTGATCAACACAAAAAGGTGAAACTAGGAGACTTTACCTGGCTTGTGTCATCCCTTTAATTCTGCACTAGGAGTAGACAGCGTGCAAAAGGGACAGAAGAGAGGGAGGAGTTTAGCACATGGGAGGGCTAGAGAGGAGTGCACCGCAGAAACGCCAGGACAGCAGGTAAATACAAGCATTAGGGCCCTACTGTTCCTTACAGCAACTGCTTATGTGAACCTTTCCCTTAATAAGGCAGCAGCAAACTCCACACAGTCACAAGACCTGGTAATCTGTAGGGATACCCACCCATACGGCAAATTCCATTTGACCCCAAGCTTATGACTCCCTGGGGTCTATGTAGGACATTGTGAAACATATTCGAAACATACCCTTGAAGGGAAGCTTTCAACAGTCAAGTTCACAGTTTGATCACATGCATCCCACATTCTTGAGGCAGCTGATATCCTGGGACCCGCTAAGAAATACATACGGCCGCATCCAAGCAAACAACGGAATGCACTGCAGGACTACAGTATGTACTGTGCTGGGGCCTGTTTCATTGGTGGGGGTAATGGGACTTACAAAGCATACAGAAAAAGTTAGGGTGATCTCTCCCTGTCACAGGTGATCATAAGCTAACAAAATCCTCAGGTGACACAACCTATTTGACGGTGGTAACAGGAGGTATATATTGGGAGTTAGGGTTAGGGTTAGGGTTAAGAAGGGAAGGGAACACAACTTCACCGTGTGTGTGTGCGTGTGTGCCTAATCATCTTAGTCTTTACTATTCTGCATCTCTGTCTAAGCCTTCAGGAAGACCTCTGTCCCACAGAATAGCACTCTAGATACAATGGCCCTAAAACGAAGATCTGTGTTAAGTGATTGAGATACTTCAGCTGCTTTCATTTAACACTGTCAGGCTGAGTGGCCACCCTCAATGCCCTTAGTGCGCTGTGTCACTAAGGCCTGCACACTAAAGGAAAGCTGTGCCTGGCTGGTGATCACCCCGCTAAGCTGAGAGCTGTATGCTGACAGGGGACAGCCACACTTTACAGGACAGAATGTATTTGGAAAGTATCACATTGCAACATCTGCTGGAATCAGCACCCCATGGGTGAAACAGCAGAGGAAAAAATTTCTTCAATAATAGATGAATTTTTGGAATGTCGACCAGAAGGAAGCAGGAATGGCAGCTGGGTTATATAAATTGTCCAAGTTCAACAAAGGCAGGATACAGACCATATGATATGACTGCTGGAGGAGTCTTATGGGGTTTTCTGAGTACTCACAGCTGTGCAGTCACATGATTGGCATGGTCAGCTGACAATGCACATGACTTAGGAGAGGAGGTGGGTCATGTGATCCCACAGCCCATCTAATGGCAAAGCTCTGAACCTTTGTCATAAGGTTTGAGGCTTTGCCCCAAAGCCCTTCACATTTAAATACATAAAGCACATATTGTGCAATCAGGAAAAGCCAATAGCCTGTGAAGAGGTTGGCATAGTTGTGAAAAAAAAGCTCATTAGAGTTTTACTTGCACAAAATGTTCTGGGGGCAGAAGTAAAAAATGATTGGCTCAGAGACACAACCAATCAGATTGTAGAGGAGGTATGTCTAAGCAACTAGAAGAGTGGGACCAACCAATCAGATATCTTGGTCCCATCTCTAGTTGCTTGGACCCACTTCCTTCACAATCTGATTGGTTATCTCTCCTTCTGCCCTCAGATCATTTTTGTGTAAGTAATTAACACACAAGCTGAAAAAAGACTCTTGGGGGGGGGCAAGGTTAGCTGGTCTCCTACCCCTCCACAACATGCTAACCATACAAGTGAGGTAGTGTCACCATTTCCCAGGTGGTGAAAAAATAACAGAAACACCTGAATTTATTAATATCACAGAATTCATTGGGAATAGGGCAACGTGTTACCATTCTTCCTGAAAGTCTCCAGTTCTTGGAGTGATGAAGGGGGTGAAAATGTGACACTCTGCCATCCAGAACATTCCATGATATTTATTTCTCGAGATCTGACTTAATCCGGCTGTTTATGAAAACATGTACATTTATTTCACGGTTTGTAAGCGAGCACTGCTATCTAGGAATATGTCAAACATCATGAGGGTGCAGGAAGGTCTTCACAGGATGCAGCTGGACCTGTAAGACTAATGTCTCAGATTTCTTGATAGTAATATGACCATATGAGCAAAAAGGTGAAGGGTGGCTCAGATCATGCTGCTTTGTTTTCTTCGATGACTCAGCAGTCTACGCTCTGTGCACCTTAAACCAGGTTACACGGCTTTTTGTTTTGGGCTCGGATAAAAATGGTTCCCAAGCAGCAGACCTGCCACATATTCCAACTTCATGACACACAGTTTTTGATGAGACTGTGGCACAAAATTGCGGACTCGGTTCCGCAGTAATTTTTGAAGCCACGCTACACTTTATGTAGCTAAAGTACAATTTCTGGTTTCATGGATGTGGATCAACCTGAGTCTAAGGTGGTATCTCCTATGCTTTGAACTTGAAGTTAACTTCAAAGTAATCCAAAAGTAAAGCAAAACGATCTAACCTCTGTTGTTATTAGAGTACTTGCAGCTGTAGCTAGCGTACTGTATTATCTAATTACTTTTGCTCAACTTCCAACTGACTTGTATAGTATGTTGTTTGCATCCTACTGTAAAAATGCTATACCAATTAATCATATTCCCATTTTCGTGATCAGTTTCAGATACTACAAATGCCACAGATTACTTTAAAATGTAAAAGGTTAAAAGGTGTTCCTAAGAGTAAAATCTAACGTCTAACTACAGCATCTACAAAGCTTGTGCATCTACTCCTCACACAGCAGAAGACATTTCAGTCCAGGCAAACGACGACTTACCAGCTCATTCATCTGTGTTCACATCACATTCATGTATATAAAAGTCAACAGAAGAGACAGTGTTATACTGTGATTCATCATTTGTTTTCTCTGATATCTGAAACTATTCATCGACCTTTGCTAAATCTGCAAGGATCTGCTTCCAGTTTGAAAGTGTAGGTGGGTTACAGGATTCTCTGGAGGGCCAGCAAGGGGGTTGCTTTGGTGTTCAAAAAGTACGTCTTAAAAAAATGGTTTATTCTTTTTAATCTGGAAAAATCTAAAAATGTATCCAGACCATTTGGCATTTTCCTAGCCTTAGATCCATGTTCTTCATTGGATGGACCAGCCCCCCCCCCCCCCCTGGCTCCTCTCAGAGCTGGGCCTCCTACAGCTGAATGTGTGAAACACAATCTATACCTCAAATGTATTTTGAGAATACTGTAGCATTATATATAATCACAGTACTTCATGAACTAGATCACATGGCTACTTCTGGTCCATTGCCATTGCAACCTATGATGCAGATATCAGCACTGCCTGTCAGTCAGATTCCAGCAGGCCTTGCTGAGTGTGGAGATGGCAAGGTCACCTGACACCAACATGCACTTTTGTGGGACGGCGCAGGGAGGGGCGGCATGGGAACTAACAAAGCTACGCTTCTGGACCATAAGGGCTAGGCTCACAGCTCATTGGCTGCTAGGGCCGCCAGATTAGACCTTACCGCTGAAGAACATGGGGGATTTACTGCGGACCTCCTCCATTTTCTGAGAAAAGAGGGCATTCATTTCTCGCTGCAGCGTGCCGATGCAGCGGTGGTGTGGATCCGGGCCACGTGGCGGCGGCGGGGGAGGCGGGAGCGCGGGGCTGCCCAGGCTCTCGCCGCTGCTGGAGTCAGTGTCAGTGAGGTGGAAGCCGGCATTGTCTCCACCTGCAATGCTGGCGAGCTGGACGGGAACCTGACAGCGCAGGCTGGTCCAGCTGACCGGCACGGGACCGGCAGGCAGGGGGATCCTCCTGCGAGGAAGACTGCAGGATCGCGCGTCCCGGGCCGAGGGGGAGCTGCAGGGGAGGCGGTGGCCGGCAGTGTGTGGAGTGTTCATTGGCTGTGGGGAAGCCCTGAGTGGGAGTTTGTGTGTGGGGTCATTATGGGACTTGGGGGGCAGATCTGCCCGGGCTGGGGGCTTTGCCCGCAGCTGCTCGGGGATGGATTTCGATATGGGCTTGGGAACATAGGCGGCCCTTGCTTGCTGGGGTGGCGGCTGGGGGCAGAGCTTCCTCTCCATGTCAGGGCTCTCTTTGGAGCCCAGCATGCAGCGGATGCAATTGGAGGCCACACCCACCCTCCCAGAGCCACTGATGGCCACACGTGCGTAGACGCCGGGCTTCTCCTCCGCCGGCTCCCGCAACGGCACCCTGCTAGCCCGCCTCAGCGGCTCGCTCAGCACCCTCCTGTGGTGCGGCAGGGATGATGGACCCTTACCTTTGCTGCCCCCTGGGGGTGCCTCCCCATTGGTGCAGTCCCGTAGGCCAGCGGCGGGCGAGTCCCTCTCACGGTCACACCGGGGGCGGGAGCCGTCCTCCGCGTCCCGGTCCTCGCTGGTGCCCTCAGAGCTACAGTCTTTGGTGTTGATGGAAATCTCTGGGAAACCTTTCTTGGCCTTGGCCTGGCCCTTGGTGGGCTCGCTGGCAGTCCGCCGCAGGAGGTGGGCGCCGAAGGCTGACTTACGGCTGAGCTGAGCAGCAGCATGGCTGTCGAGGGAAGATTGCTTTGGGTTTCTGTGAAACAGCCCTTTTATACCGCTGACTGGCCTGACCTGGGGAGGCACAGAGGCACCATTAATATCCTGCAGACCAGATGCCAGACATCACATCCTCATTGGCGACTCTACACATATGTAAATAGATGCCTGTAAAAATATGGTGTTTTTCTGGCCAGAATAAGGTGCTATCTAAGGCAGTCAGCTTCCCAGCGGAGCATCTGCAAGCCTGCAAAAACACTGTAATGGCCAACCAACCACACAGGCGTAACTACGTGTACCTGTAAACTGTCTCGCCAGATACAGCCCAATCTGTCTCGCCTCAGCGCAAAATCACATGCCTGTCAACACGTCGCGTAAAAAATGAGAGCTGCAACAACAACTGCCAGGAAGAAGAACAGTGAAAAGTGCACAGGTTCAAACCGAACAGATTGTGACACAAAAACAACAAGGCCTTCGTGTGGATGCATGATGTCGGGGGGGGGGGGTCCCTCCAGCACAGCACAGGTGATGCACGGACTGCAGTGATAAATCACCGCAGTATGTAAATCTGTGGGGGTTAAGCAGGAACGCCTCACGCCATAGCGTCACCAAGAGCCAAATAAGGCGAGTGATTCAGCAAACCACATTTTGCCAGGTGACACATATTTGTGCTGGTGACTGTTATGGATGATGTCATGGCAAACGACAGCTGTGAGATGCCATGAACCCGTTTCCCCGCATACGGAAGGCGTTCGTACAGACATCAGTCCTGTCATTCCCCTTTATAAAGTGTACATCATTTTGCAGTCTTGGCTGGACTTTTTCTCTAATATAAAATCAATTATCCTGGTTAATTGTGAAGTCTGCAAGTGGAAACAGAATGTAGACAGACAAGCTACCTTGACCAGACACCGTCATATTTCACAGACATTAAGGCACGCAGTGAGCCATCTGGCTCGAGTGTTGGACACGGGGGGACAGGAGGATGGTGACGGCACAGCGAGAAACCCATTTCTCCCCACGGACACCCCCGGCATGACAGGTGACGGGACAGACGCCCATGGCGGTCCCCGGCCAAATGCCGCTGAGTGATCTTTCCGCTAGCTCAGACAGAAGGTCACTCCCATCGCAAACACATCCGGAGTCTAAATGAGGAGCGTGTTATGAAATATTTAGATCACCCAGCGGCATTATGAAAAATAATAATAAAAAAAAACATGAACAAGTAGATCCAAGTGGATAATTACTCATGTTCAAATATGCACTATAGAACACCCACCAAGATGAAATAACTCACAACTTCATGAACGTATTGAGTATTTTTTTTTCTCACCCCGATGCAACTGCACTCAAGGCTTCTACTGTACATTGGACATTGTGAGTTACCTTATCCTGCCATGAATATACAGATGAGGGACTAGACAACATATATTAACTTGGTGAGACAAGGATAACACTGAACCATGTTTGGGCCTGCCGTTCAACGGTGAACTTTTGCAAAACAAAGTTTCACTCTTAAGAGATCCTCAACAGGATTATGAGATACAACAGGACCCCAGATGCTGCGCCAGTCCTGGATGGGAGTCCTTTTGAATACCTGGGTGTTGTATTTTTAACGATTCACCATTAAATGCAGCACACATGGCTGAGAATCTCTCAAGTTAAGGCTATTTTCAGGATGCTGGAGTGAGTGGAGCCTCACACATTCCTCTTTGATGCCCTGTTTTTTGCGGGTCGTGACACTGGATCTACTTTGGCAAAATGAAAATGCTGGCAAGCACAGCTGTCACACTCATGTCACAACTCATAGTTTGTATGAGTTGGCATCTCCAATGCTAGTGGCTCATTCCTGAGTGGGCGGGGCAGGGGGGAGGGGACAGAGTCACTGAGGGAGGGGCATGTGGCGCATGCAAGAGTGCCGACTGGTTCTCACTACACCTGAGGTATGAGGGCCACCTTCATGACTCCTAAAAATTTCCTGCTTCTAAAAGTGGGTTTTTGACAAAGAGAGGTGCACTGAAATCACAAACAGACAGAGGGGGAGAAAAGATCAGAGAGAATGAGAGAGAAGAGGCAGAAAAATAGAAAAGAACACACAGCTGTCACCACAAAAGGAGGAAGTGAAAAGCTGCAATTCATCTGCCATTAAAAAGATGATTTTCTCCCAATTAAGTCTAATCAGAGTAATTAAGCACCTTCAGTGGTTGTGCAATTAATCTGCCATTAATCTCCTATGTCCAGGTTAATATAATCAGCACCCCATGAATGAGCCATTCCAAAAACACATTTCCAAGGAAACATATCTGCTTAGAAGGTTCCTTTTAATCTAAATATCTTATTTTGTCAAATATTAATGATCTCCTCCTATAGAGAAGGAACAGTTCATCTTCACAATCCACTGACCAGCTCAGAGGGACAAAATGTCTAATGGATAACACTGAATACCCAAGGAGCTATCACATCAAAATACACATCCAAACTGAATAACTGAAGGGCCATCACATCAAAATACACATCCAAACTGAATAACTGAAGGGCTATCACATCAAAATACACACTCAAACTGAATAACTGAGGGGCTATCACATCAAAATACACACCCAAACTGAATAACTGAGGGGCTATCACATCAAAATACACATCCAAACTGAATAACTGAGGGGCTATCACATCAAAATACATACCCAAACTGAATACCTGAGGAGCCATCACATCAAAATACACACCCAGACTGAATAACTGAGGGGCTATCACATCAAAATACACACCCAGACTGAATAACTGAGGGGCTATCACATCAAAATACACATCCAAACTGAATACCTGAGGAGACATCACATCAAAATACACATCCAAACTGAATAACTGAAGGGCTATCACATCAAAATACACACCCAAACTGAATATCTGAGAGGCTATCACATCAAAATACACACCCAAACTGAATACCTGTGGAGACATCACATCAAAATACACATCCAAACTGAATAACTGAGGGGCTATCACATCAAAATACACACCCAAACTAAATAACTGAGGGGCTATCATATGGGCTAATATTTGTGCCACTAGAAACTGAATATGAATTGTGTATATTTGAATCTGTTGTTGCATTAAAAAACTGAATCTGAATTTATTAGTTTGAATCTGAATTCCAAAACTAGAAACTGTATTTATCCTACATGGAAAATTTTCAGTTTGCAAATTCAATTTCAATTTATTGAGACGAACATCTGGGTTCTTGAGGAAAAGTAATCGACCGCAAGTTCATGATGCAACTCATTTCCACGTTTACGACAGTCCTGCAGGTCGGGGTAAAGTGGAAGCGTGTGCTGGGATGTCGCAAGCTTATTGCGTGATCATATACGTAGTCATCATATACGTAATAAGAATTAAGCGGTACCAGCACTGCTAAATTTTAATCTTTATCGTACCATCACTTCTCACAAGTTACCAGTACTCTGCTACTCAGAGACAAGCGTCACGCGAGAGTGGCGGGGCAGCGTGTGCAGTACCGACAGCGCCAACACCCCTAATTACCAACACCCCCGCTGCCTTTCTCACAGTCAATACAGTAGCGACACTTTTATTTCTCCACTTCCAGCACTGCTTATACAGATCACCATATTAAACGCCAGTTCAACTGACCTCACCTCAAACCCGCAGTATAACTTTACATTTAGATCGATACAGGGGTACGTGTATCGATGCACTCATGTTGTGTTTTTTTCTTCTCCACCAATCAGGAGTCAGGAGCCGCATGTGTAGATCTTCAGATTCAGCCTTTATTGCCACAGTGAGGTTACACCCAAGGCTGGACACCCTGCAGGAGTGTGTCCAATACTGTTTTACACCATTTTTTATACATTTTCTCATCGTGTAACAATATCTCGTCACTTAAGCATCATCATTTCTTCAACCATTCACCATCGTTGTTTTCTCCCTTGATCCACACCCCTATATGATAAGTTTGTCAATCATCTCTTTTACTGTTTGGTCCCTCGGCTGAACATAATGGTGGCGTGACCATCTCTATGAACCGAACTTTTGATGAACTCAGACCAATCCCTTCCTTCAGTAGCAAACCTTGGCAACTTCAGCTTGTTGCACATTGTCTGGCTAGAGGGTTAATAATATATTTGTCCTTCAACATAGTGATAAGCTGCAGCACTAATAAAGTACATATTCATACATCAAAGGCTAACAAAATAGCTAGCAGATACAGAAACTTCTAAGCCAACACAAGGTGCTAATTCATATTCGTCTTTCGTCACATTGTGCACAGCAGTAATTGGTCTGCATTCTCTGAAGGTTACAAAGTCACTCTCAACAGTTTACATCAGCTTCTTATAGAGTCCTAATGATTACATTCTCTATGCATTAAGAAATGCTAAATAATATTCCATACTCGCATATTAGAAATTTGCGATTTCCGCCTCATATCGGCGAGATGAAGATATTTAGCATAAACACAGCTAGAAAGCCACATGAGATGAACGGGCGAGCCATAACTTAAACTAAACTAGAAGTAAAATTCATATCCCTAGCTAGTTTTGCGTTAGTCTACCATATTAACATAAACTAGCAGTGCGAGAAATCGTTCATTTAACCACATATACTACCATAATAACCACACGTATGGTTAATGTTTATGCTGTCGCTTGTGTATATAAAGCTTATTCTCATATGTATCATAAGGTAATGCGTTTGTGACACCCCAGTACACGCTTCCACTTTACCCCGACCAGCAGAACTGTCGTAAACGTGGAAATGAGTTGGAAATGACTTTTCCTCAAGGACCCGGATGTGCGTCTGAATAAATTGAAATTGAATTTGTGAACTGGAAATTTTCCAGGTAGGATAAATGCAGTTTCAAGTTATTGGAATTCAGATTCAAACTAATAAATTCAAGATTCAGTTTTTTAATGCAACAACTGCAGATTCAAATATACACTATTCATATTCAGTTTCTAGTGGCACAAATTTCAGCCCATACTATCACATCAAAATACACACCCAAACTGAATAACTGTGGGCCTATCACATCAAAATGCCCAAACTGAGGAGCCGGGCAATTTGTCATAAAGTGGATTATTCAATGGTTATTAATTTGAGCACTGCTGTGAAACGCTTTCCACTAAGAGAACTTGTAAAAAGCACGAAGAATCAAAATAGAAGATGCGATTGGCTTAAGGTATTTGTAATTGGGAATGTTTTGCATTAGTTAAAATCAATTTCCCTGGCTTGATAAGACCAAAAGATCCACAGTCAATAAAATGTTCTTCACTCCACCCAGACTTTAATTTAAAATCTGTTTCGGCAGTTTCCTTGGGGGGTCATTTTATCCCCCAGTATCACACACAAAGTCATTCACAAAGTCATTTTAAACCCCATCCACCGCCACTAAGGACCTCGTTGAGGAAAAACCCCAGTCGACTTCTGTGCCCCTATACAAGCTGCCAAGCCCTAGTCTCTTCCTGCAGTTCCACAAAGGGTTGGACATCTTATGTTCTGAGGACTTTTAAGCGGCGAGCTGCAAGGTGCCAGTGAATGTTAGACTGTCACCCCCTTGCTTTTCTCACAGCTTTACTGAGTACCTACCTTACCAGTGATGTCATTCACTGCTACATGAACAAAGATTGAAGCTTCTTCCATACCCTCCAAGTAGACATGGCGGTAACCTTTAAAAAACACAAAGTCCAACACTGCACACGCAAAATGGAAACAAACATCTGTCAATCATCAATGCAGTAAACTATGCAGTAAAGGTGCATCTTTAGACACACAAGACATTTCTCCTAAACGGTCACCCAGGCCACCTGTCCTGAGGCATGGTGACGTTGCATGGGGTACCTGACATCATGCTGGTAAAAGCTATGGTCCTCTGGCCAATGAAGTCCTGCCCAATGGGGTCGTGGTCCCACACCAGGAAGCGAACCAGTGCGATCTCTGGCATATGGAGTGTGAAGACAAGGGTTTCTTCCCACATGGGGTTGAACCCTGCAGCAGAGAGTTGGAAATAATTCATCCTTATTGTGCCCCAGAGAGAGAGAGTGAGCGAGGGAGAGACAGACCGAGAAACAGGGAGAGGATGGACAGCATCCTCAAAGCAGGATCATGCATTATTCATTGCAGAGAAGGATTGTTTAACCGCACGCTCAGCTGTTCTTGACTGGAAACGTAACACCGCAGTCTCCGCTGGAAATGCAAACCGCAGGATGCATGACTACTGGTTAAAGTGGCGCTTATAACCTGTACTGCATACCCGAGGCAGGTCAAAGTTAAAGATGTGATCTAAACTAAATGTTAACCCTCTTGTACGCTCACAGTCCTGGGCAATGCTGTTATACCCTTGAGGGAATCAGTAACACCTGAAACCATCAGCTACAAACAGGCCGGCTGTAAAACTCTAAACTCATGCACAGTGTACTTAAAACTGCCGAGAACAGAACTGTCTTCAATACAGAAAACACAGCGATTAAGGAACTGGAAAGGATACCCACCCAAAACAAAGTTCCAAGAGGAGGTCTACAGTTAAAGGTGTCTAACACACTGCATGCAGCAAATGGAATATAGAGAAAATGATAATAAAAAATCTGATCTTTCTTTGCGCATTTAACACTGCAATGCATCTGTCCAAACTTTACGCTACGTTACAGTTTAGTGAGCGGCCTGCTGGAGACGGACGCTAATCGCCTTGGCTCACCGTTGTCGTCCACCACCCTGGTCTGCTCCTTGCTGCAGTCCACCGGGAGCCCGATGATCTCCACCTCCACGAAGGGGTCAATGATCTGCGTGACGGAGGCTCTGTTATCCCCTGAGACTGGGACGTGCCCTTGGTGACGTGGCCGTCCCGCCATGTGACTCCACAGCAGGACAGCTTCCAGGCTCCCAAAACAAGTCTATCTTTGCAGACTAAGTACTCAATATCATGTTTCAGACAAACAACTTTCCTGCTGCATCCTGCCAGTCAGACAGGCACGATGCTGCCTCATATTAGCAAACCCCATACATGGAATGTATTAATTTCCTGGCAAATGTATTGGGCAATTCAGCTTAAACCACAGGAAACTGGTCCCCATAAGGGAAAAAAAAGCCGGATATTTATCACGTTATGGGGACATTGTGTCCCCATAAGGATAGGTAAACCCGCTCACACACACACACACACACACATATACATATTAATGATTATATATTTATATAGTCATGCATATAAACTGGTACTCTTTAGTACTAATCTGGTACTCATTTAGACCCACTCAGTTTGCATAGTACTTTGATTCAGCACGGAAATCCCCCCCCCCCCCCCCC